TCTTCAATTATGAGGCCTATAGGGCAACTAAATAAGTAAATGACTTTTCACTCCTGTCTAATAAAATAATTTATTTTTACAACTGTAATAAATGAATCTATTATAGCCTTATAACTTTAGGCTTGATCTCCTTAATCTTCAATGCAGTGCCTCTCTCTTCTGACAACCTCCTTTCTTCCTGTCCTGGCCTAAAGTGCCTTCTCTTCTCTCCAGCGTCCTTCTCCAGCTGTTGCTACCTGCCTTCCTTCTTCATAGATATGAGACTTTTTAATGAATAATTTGTTCACTGCATAACTGAGTACAATTCATCGTGCAACACACATTCCTATATATTCCTTCTCATTCCCTCGCACAATGTCACATAAAGGAGTAAATACAGGGGGGGGGGTGGTATCTACTACAAGAAATATGATTGGGGTGTTCAGTCAAAATAAAAATAAATAATTATATTTTATTTCCCCAACCATCCTTTTATATAATAAACATAATTGCCTAAATAAACATTTTATTTATAAAATTTAATTTTTTTCGAATTAAAAAGTGTATATTGGCAATTTTGCTGAAAACATATGTACTTTTTTAGCTGACAGGATAAAAAATTAGCTTAGTTTAGCTGCTCGAAAGTCCCCTTTAAATGGGCTTAACCATGACAAACTCGCTTTCATTTGAAGTAAATTTTGTCAAGTTTACAGTGAAGCAATAGTTAATTACTGAAATTAAGAATTTTTTTAACTCCGCCAGTGGGTGTAGTGTTGCTATGTGGGAACCTCCATAAAGGAGGAGAGTCGAGCATGAGGGATGGGCAACCTCACCTCTATAAAACAAGTATTATCGTCAAGAAACTGCCGGAATAGAGTTTTCTATACAGGAATGATGAAAATCAAAAACACATAATCCACAAAAAGAGCCATGCAGATACGGGAGGATCCCCACCAGATCTTGAAAGATACTTAAGAAAAGAGAATAAAATAAGGAAATGAGGAACAGTGGGGGATGTGGACTTGGAATGTCCAAAGCATATTGTAGCATATAAAATGGTGATAAAGTGGTGGCAGAAGCCATGATCTTACAAGGAGTCCTACAGAAACTAGCGCCCATTGGTGAAGAAGATAGATAAGATAAATTTCTTTGTTGAATATTTAATAATTGACCGTTGCATTATAAAGGAAGGAGATCGTCCAGGGTTACGGTCATAAATAGGCTAAATAGCGGTAAAACTATTTTATTGAAAGCCGACGTTTCGACCCGACTTTGCAGGTCTTCATCAGGGAGGTGTGTTCATCTAGGAGTTTTACTTAGAACTGAAGTGAAACTCCTAGATGAACACACCTCGCTGATGAAGACCTGCAAAGTCGGGTCGAAACGTCGGCTTTCAATAAAATAGTTTTACCACTATTTAGCCTATTTATGACCGCAACCCTGGACAATCTCCTTCCTTTATAAATTTCTTTGGTTATCACTTCCTATTCAACAAAAAACATGACACTTAAAAAACACAAAAATTGGATTTTCTACTATCTGCTGAAAATTGGCCATTGTTTATATGAAAATTTTTTATAGCACTTGAAGTCTAAAATCATTCCTATAAAAATTTTTCTCTACTTACAGGACACCCTGTTTAGTGAAATTTCTTGTTAGAATGATTTATTAATAATGAAATAATGATTATGGGATTAATTAAGTCTTTTTTTGTGAATACCATTAATCATATATTGATTAAATTGAGATCCCATAAAGTAATGAATAAACAAACAATTTTTACAGGCTGTCTGAGGCCTAATCAAGAGGTGGAGAAAATTGGACAACACTTAAGGGAAGGGAATTAATCAGTGATGTGGTAAGAAAAAATAAAAATAAAGGAAACTTACTGACCTTGATATGCATCGAGATTTTAATAAAGCCATCTGAAAACTAGGTCATGAAGAACAAATCATATCAGCAAAAGCTGTTCTGGCAATTATTAGACAAACATCATGCAACCACAACTATTTATCTATTCAGTTAAAGAAAGAGAAAAACGGTGCTGTTTCAATAATCCATAATAGGTATTAGCATGGATTTTCAATTGTTATTGTGAAGATATGGTTATAACAATACAAAAAGTCCCAAATTTTTCTGATGTATGTACAAATGTCCATCTAAGCATCATCTTTTCACTTTTTCTATAACTCTGTCATCTCTGAATAAAAATATTCAGTTTAAAATATATTTTATTAGCTTTTATAAATGAATGTTTATAAAGTAGAGCTGAGAGAGGTAACTATACACTTGCTGTGGTGGACTCAGATAAAGCCTTTAGTCCTCTGATGCAATGTTATTTTATAAGTTTTTAGTACTCCAGTAACCTTGTCATGAAAAATAGGGACTATCTAAGTTTCATCACGTGGTGGTAGGAGATTTAGATTTTTTTTCTTGTATGGGATGTGACCAAGATGTAATATCCAAGTTTTTGAGCTCGGCAGCCTCCTAGATCACTTTCGAATATCTTATTATTAAACTATTAAAACTTTGCACTTTTATCGGTTTTTCGCCATTTCGGTCATCAAGGGGAAAGTTATAGACAAAAAATATTTTATAAATTTTTAAACTAGGTTAAATTTATTACAATTTCAGACCAGGATCGGTAAACCAAATAGGTTTTGAATTACAGATTTTCCGAATTTTGAAAATTTTGAGCTATATTAATTTTCAAGTTTTATCATATGCAATTGTTTTCATATCTTCAATAATCTGTCTGATACATGTCAGTAAAGTAATTATTTGAATAAATTATTTAAACTGAATAGTTTAACTTTTTTAAGGAGGGAGAAGATTTGATGGAAAAAGAAGTGAATGAAAATGTTAACATAACGTGAATTAAAGGCGTTTCATCCGATTCGAAAGACCAGGACCAAGCAAATACGCCAATCCATCTCTTTAATGACATCAATTAATATAATATAATCTTATATTAGGAGCTCTCAACAAGGTTTTATCTAGCAATATTCAACAAATATTTTTATTCCATTTTGGTAAGTCCATGATGATGATTATGGCACTGAAGGAGGTGGATTGGCATATTTGCTTGGTTTTGGGCCTTTGAATCGGAGGAAACACCTTAAATTAACATTTTGTTTATATTCTCATTCACTTCATTTAAACTTTTTGTGTACAGATGATGAAAATGTTTGCTAAATAAATTCTGTATCTCAATACCGGTCATCTGGTTGGGAACAGTGAACTCGCTTTCTCCCGCCAAACGTTTCTCCTCCTCCGCCACCTCTCTTCAAAATGTTAAATTGAATAAATGTTTATTTCACTGACTCAAAAAAATAACTTTTCCTCATGTTTAACAAGAGCTATCTAACAAGTGCATTTATTATTTATAAAGTGTAACCTCAATCCTACATATGTTCTTTATCACTTGAATTCTATTGCAGCTCAAATTTATACAATTTTTTTTCCATGGAAATATTTAATTTCTGCAGTGGGATTTCCATTTGGAAAAGTTTAAATTAGCGAGTGAATGGGAAAACTTTTTTGTTTTACTTTCGTAATCAAAACTTCTCATCCAACCTTCATTTTTTTTTGGTTAGTTCAGATTCCCGAGGTTGCATCATACACAGTCTCTGTTTTGTAAACTTACAAATGACATTAGATAAATCTTTGTCAAATACACCATCAAAAGTATTTAAGAAGGTTTTCCAAGACAAATATTTTAATTACTAAATATATTTAAAATGGAATAAGCTACCTTGGGTTTAAAAGAAATATCCTTTTTCTTAATTTATGAAAAATATAAAAACAAAATTTTTCAATTAAGATAAGAAAAACTACGGGTTTTAAATACATAAAAATATCAATCTGATTGGGTAATAGCGATAACAGGGTAAGTAAACACCAACATTATACAACAATCACATTTTTAAAAAAGTTAGTTTGATTTCATTGCGCTTTACTAATCAAATTATGAAAAACAAAAGACTGATTATCTACTAATAAAATCAGGAGTTATCTTAGAAATAAGTAAAGTTTCTTTAAACATGCTAATTAAGAAGAGCTAAAGTAAGAGTTAAATCTACATCATCTATCTTAATATATACTGATGTATTACACGAATTGTCAGCTTTTAGGATAACATTAGTAAAACTGAAATGAATAAAGTCACAATTTATTACTATCGAAACAGGCAACATTGCTATTGGTTTCTACTGGCTCTTTATAATATGCCCCTAGAGAATCTCTGAGATCCACTAGTCTGGAAGGCAAATTAACTTAATTTTATATTTTGATTACGGGAATCTTCAATAAGTTTCAATAGCCTTTTGAAAAAGAGCTGCTTGGCACAAAACATCTAAGTCTTAAAAACTTATTGAAGTCATAAATTAGGCATCAAAATATTCGCTCTCAAAAATACCTCTTTAGAGCTTAATTCTCTAACTTATTTCAGCTGAGTACTATTTCATCTGATTAACATTTGTACCAGATTATCGTTATGTAAAATTAATTATAGAAACAACAAATTTGGACCACTTCCCTCCCCCAGTCAATGGTGTCCCGCTTTACCAATGTTAAAATCTGGTCACCTTACCCAAGTTGCTTCTTTGGGTATGCAAAATTTATACTAATTTACCAATTATTTTTGGTAAAACAAAAACAGATAGTATTTATTAATTCATTTAAGCAATAATAGATTGAATAGCCTTAAACCGTTTTTCAAGAATTGAAGTGACAGAAATTTCTACATAAAAAAACTGATAACACCAAATAAAAAATTTCTTTACATTAACTAGTTACCGTTAATTTATAGACTTTTAATGCAATATGTTATTGATCTTATCCCAAAAACTAGCATTTCATGTGATGTAACATAATATAATTAGTAATATCGACCAAAAGTAAAAAAAACATTCCCACAACTGAGATATGCAAATAAATAAATAATTGTTAAAATATCAGTAACAAATCAACAAAACATATTGCTGGCAATGGCTAGTATAAAATGAACAATTTATAATTACCATTTTGAGAGTTATAGCTGTGAGGTGCAGGGCGGGATGGGTGATGAGGAGGCACCCTCGATGGCTGTTGTATGGAAACTTTACTTACTGAACCGCTACTCAGAGTCTTAATCATATAGGAAATAAAGAAAACTGAGTTGATTAACTAAGCAGGTTGATTAATACATGGAATGCAAGTGTTATTTGAGGAAAAAACAAACACATTAAATATTATTTAAATACCCTGTGATGATGGTCTGCAGTTTCAATCGTTGTTGGAAGGTCTAACAAACGCTGAATTTGTATGCCATCTCCAGGACCCATATGAGAGATGTGATTGAAGTTTGTCGGAGCAGAAATCATTTTTGATCTTCTGTCAGGACTACATCAAAAACATGAATTAACTTTCCAATTCCCAAAAAAAAGAGTAAATAATATAATTTATGAATTATGATTAATACTTCATTTATTTTAATATTACTATTTTGAATATATTCTGTTTGAAAAACAACTAAGATCATTGTATAAGCCAATTTTGGTAATTGTATTTATCAGCATTAAGTATAAAGGCAATAGTTCAAAAACAAAAACTGTATCGTATTTATAAATATAACTATTAGGTTGGCAAATAAGTCCTTTCGGTTTTTCTATTTATTTTTGTCACTATGATACCCTTCTAATCCGATGAATTAATCCCTAAGGTGGATTGTTTATCCTGTTTATAATAAGTCAAAAACTATATCTGTTAAGTCTTGTTAAAACTAGCTTAGTATTGTGTTTTCTATTGTACTGTTGTGAATATGGAAGAAAATATCATTCATTATCGGCATATTTTGTTGTTTAATTTTAAAAAAGGTAAGTATGCAGCAAAAGCTCATAGAAAAATTTGCAGTGTTTATGAGGATGATGCCTTAACCGAAATCACCTGCCAAAATTGGTTAGCCAAATTTCATTCAGGAAATTTTGACATCAATGATCTTCAATGGTTAGGTCGCCCACATGAAATTGAAACGAGCAATGTTAAGGCCATTGTTGATCAAAGTCCCACCCAATCAGTGCGAGAGATTCCTATGGCCCTAAATGTGTCACATACCAGCGTAGAAAACCATTTGCATAAGCTCGGCTATGTTTCCAGGCTTAATTTTTGTGTCTCTCACTCTCTAATCGAAGTGAACTTGGCAACACACATTTCTGTTTAGTGATTCACTACAGAAACAGCAACAAAACGACTCAGTTTTGAAAATGTTGGTTATAGGAGAAAAAAAATGGATATTTTACAATAATGTAATGTAGTGAGGCTCCTAAAAGAATGCCAAAACCCGGATTGCATCCAAAGAAAATAATGCTTTACATATGGTGAGATTTCAACGGTGTTATTTTCTATAGTCTATTGCCAATAGGATAAACAATTGATTTATTTCTATACTGCTCACAATCAACAAACAAAATTGGATCAATCAATTAAAAATAAATGCCCAGAACTGGCAAATCGGAAGGGTGTTGTGTTCCACCAAGACAACGCTAAGCCCCACACCTCATTGGTCACTTGCAATAAATTATTGAGCCTTAGATGGGACCTTTTGCCCCCAACCTCCCTATTCACCAGACCTAGATCCAAGTGACTACCACTTATTGCGGTCTCTGCAGAACTCCATGAATGGAAAGAAATTACAAAAAGAACAGGACAAAAACCATTTGGATCAGTTTTTTAACAATAAACTTCAGACATTCTATGAACATGGAATTATGCAGATAGTGGAAAGATGGGAAAAGTCATATTAAATAATGGTCGGTATATTGTAGATTAAAATAAATTTTATGTCTATAATACATTGAGTTTTTCCACCCTGAAAAACCGAAAGGACTTATTTGCCCAACCATAAGTATAACATTTAATAAGTAGACTGTGTAATAATATTGAAAGTAAGAAAAACACTCTTCTTTTTACAGTCTCATATATTTATGTTTAAGAGCTTTCGTTGCACTGCACCAAATTCATCTTTGCAATGCTCGTTCAATCCATTTTTGGATTTTGTTCATAGTATAAATTTTATCAATCATTATAGATTGGTGTCTAAATTTACAAAAAAGTTTTGTTTGGGCTTTTCCATTGTAGGAGGAGAGAGGAATCCTGCTGTACTTTACTTTATGGTTTACAGTCTTACTCTGGGCTTTGGACTTGTGTTATCCTGATAACTTTAATTAGTATACCCTAAGGTACCTTCATACCAAAATTAGTGCTTTTATCTGCCATTTAATGATAATTTCATTAAGCCACCTGATTAGAAATTGAGAGTGAAAACATAAAAATAAAATACACATTCGGGATTCCCTCAACCTCAAGCTCCAAAAACCTGCTTAGTGCAGGATTTTGTAATGACAAAAATGTTTAAATTAAATATTATTGAAAACTTCATTTTAATATAATAAACCTCTTTTGATGCATAAGAAATATTAAAAAAACAACATAAATAAAAATCATATTATATACCCTCTTGATATACGGTGACCTTCTCTCAAAGAAAATCTCCTCCTTGGGCGAGCAATTAATCTCCCAGTGGCATCATAAGTAGTTATACTCAATAAATCACCTCCATTAAAAAAACAACAGAGAAATAGATAAATATACAATTACACAGTTTTTATTAGCAAATAAACATGCAAAGTTATGATATAAGTATTAAAAATTAAAATTAGCTTACGTACATTGATGAATATTAGCGATATGTATGATGTATGTCATGTCATTTATGGTACAAATGCTTATGCTGCCAGTTGTGTTTAGAGGCCTCGCTTTTTTAACATTCAAAGTTTGGACCCACAAGGATGTAGATGCATTAAATACATCAATATGCGTATCGGAGTACACCAGCAGATGACCATCACAATACGCTAAAACAATAAAAATTTAATGACAACCGATGTGAGGAAACGGAACCGAAAGGCATAAAGATAGCTTAAGCAAAATTCTTTCAGGTTGAAAAAACAAAAATCTTTTGGGAATATAACAGAAAAAAACAGTTACCTTTTATTTTTTATTAATTATTAAAATATAAAACAAAACATTCTTTCTATACATTTTCCCAGAAATATGGAATAAGAATTATAAAACCAATTTTAAAACCAGATAAGATTGGTGTTCATGAAGAAGAAAATTTTTAATATTGAAATTTGGTTTATAAAGCAATTATTTATTTAGGAAAAGATGTTTCTTAAGACATCCACAAAAATTACATATTTGCCAGTAAAAACATCTGATAAATAATACAGTTGCTTATCCTTAATTCAAGTTAAAATTTAAAATAAGTCTATGACTTAAAAATAGAAATTCTTTTAAAACTTTATCTAAAAAAACCTCAGTTTAGTACTAGGGAAAGTATACACGGATGCCAATACAGTGTAATTTGATTTAAAAATAAATTATAAACTTACTAATCTTTGGTTTGTTAGTATAATTCCTGAAACTGCCATTTCATGTGATAGAAAGAGGCAGTTAATTTCAATGTAGAAATAAATAAATTGGTAACTATAAAAAGGATGATCTTACAATTAGATGGAAAATAAATAATTTTTCTTTTAATAGGAAAAAAAAAGAAACTGATGAGATAACAACCTGTTATTGTTATAAATAAGAATAAAAAATAAATATTCATTCATACTGATGGCAACAGGAACAGCTGGGTACATAATTTCAGTATCTCTTGATTTCCTCCCTTGATTATCTACGTATATAGCCAAAGTATGAAATGCCAAAAGAAATTCACCATGTCCCAATTCGACTGCTAGCATAGAATCAACTCCACTGTAGGCCAAGAAACCGAGAAGTGGATTATCAGCATGAATAAGAGCTACAAGGAAACAATATTTGCAATTATATAAAAGAAACAGCTCGTGTTTATCATTCTGATAAATAATTAATACACAGCAACATAACCTACAGATAGGATGATGATCTCCGAGAATTGAATACACTGAATATCCAGCTTGATATCCGACACAAAGTCTTCCTTCAGAAAAAACTTGAAGAGATTGGGCCTGAGTAGGTAACATGACTTCTCTCAAACGTTTGTGTCGAGTTTTAGTCCTTGTAATTTCATAAATTATAATTTGAGAGGTGTTCTGAAAAAAATGAAACATAAAATACATATATGTACCTAATATTACTAAGTAGAACCAAATTTAAATAATTCTTTCTCATGAGTAGTAAAATGAAATGTCAATTTCAATTATTTTATATCATTATTAGTTACCACTTTCAAAAAGGAAATTGTAAATAAACTGAGAAGAGAAACAGATGAACCCCCCTCCCTCAGGAAGCATTTCAATTACTTTCCTAAACAAGTTCTGATACCTTCAAGAATCAGCAGGGACCGATTAGGAAAGAACATCATACGCCAGTGTAGGTTAAGTTCGTGGGGAGGGGAATTTATAATTAGTTTATTTTGGGTTCAAAACTACAAAATAAGGAAATTAATATATATAAGTGTATTAGATGGCCTCTAGTAATTACTCCATTATAGGACACTGAGTGAGGAAATGAGAAGGAATACAGGGTTGGATTCGATTGTGCAGTGGACAACTTGTTTAATGAAAAGTATCAAATCTGTAAGCAATTGAAGAAAAAGATACAGAAGAAAGAAAGGAGAAAAGCCTGGAAAAGTGGCAGCAGGTGGGAGCAGCTGGAGAAGGATGCGGGAGAAAAAATACTTTACTTGAGGCAGGGAAAGGAAGACTGGAGGATGTGAGGAGAGAAGAGAAGCCCACTTCACTGAAGATTAAGAAGATAAATTTATTTATTACAGTTGTGGAAATATATTATTTTGTTATACAGGAGTGGATATTCCTTATATTTAGTTTTCCTATATGCCTCACAAATGAAGAATAACAAGCCAGGTGAGTCAATTCTTTCAAAGTGTGTTTACTCAGTCCCACAATTCATATATACATATTTTTATTATTTCTTGTCACTCATTGTCACAAAAGCATTAGGTTCCCGAATTCAGAACAACAGTAAACACCTTCCAAAAGTCTATATTCAGTGCTGAAGTTTTGTTTAAAAATTAAAATTCACGAGTGTAAATAACCAAGACCCCCAACGAAACGGAAGGTTATTTACAATTGCTGACGAATAGGTTATTTACATAACGCTTTTTTGATTATAGGAATTGTATTAAAGAGAAGTTCAAGGATGTTAGACACCACCACAAATAACTCAATACTTTTGGCTCCAATAGATCTATTCATCAACACGTAGATAGTTTATTTTGTAGTTAATTACAGGTCAAGAGTGTACATTTGGTTAATATTGAAGAAGGCAATACAATGGGTCACTAATAAAGATTAATGATATTCCATGATTGATTTAAGAAGAATGATTTCTCTAATCCTATAGAGAATATTATGATAAATTAATAGTCTTCTAATAAAGTAGGCTCATTTGAATAGCTATTATTTATAAATTTACCTGTCGCTTTATTGCTACACATAAGCAATAAATGGGTTGAGGTGCATGGCACATGATCCCCACACAAAACGTAATGGTGGCTTTAGTTTCGGCAACTTTAATCCATTCTGTTTCATGACCATCTAATGCTCTGACCGGAACCAGCCGCACCTGCCTTTGCCTTCCAGCAACAACTACGACAACTTGCTCATCGATTAGAATATCTACTTGGTAGACTTTCTTGTTTTCACCTATCCTGGCAATTTCTGTAATATACAATAGTATATTACTTACAATTATAAAAATAGTATGTTATTAAACAATAATAATTAACAGGCTCACCATTATGGTCCAGATCTAAGCAGAACAGACCTTCTTCTGTTCCAATGACTAGACGATCTGGGTCCACAATAGCTCCAGACATAGTATTCTTAATAAAGGTTTGTGTGTTATCCAATACCTCTTTAGCTTGAAAAACCTAAATAATTAATAATAGATGCTATTAATTTTTTTTAAAAATAAGAACAGAGTAGAAAATTATGGTCATATTCAATTCTTAAATAGTCTAAAGCAATTATAAACTAAATAGGAAGTTTTTATATTCATTGAAATAAGTGATATTTAAAAACAGCTCTTAGTTAATATTTGATAAGTGAATTTTTAATTTAAAAAAAGTAATATTAATTAATAAAATGAAATAAAAAAAAGTTGTTCTTGGGAAGCATACTACTATTTAGTCCAGTTATGAATCTAAGGCAAAAAATACTTGTAGAGAGGATATTTGTAGCTTGTCTGAGATTAGTGTTTTTAAAGGTTGAAGTTAGTGATTTTGAAGAAATTATTCAAATATTTACATCTTCTTACAACAAAAGGGATTCTGAATAACTAAAATATTGAAAACAGTAAATAATTTATTTATCAACACGTAAAGCACCATGGGAACACTTAAAAAAAAAATATATATATATTTTGTAAATGGCCAAACACTTTTATTTTCAATATTTCAGAACTGTTTCTTTTGCTGAATAAATTAGTGTTTTTATTAAATAAGTTATATGTATATGAACATTTTTCATTTATTTATTTCCAAATTTTATATCTTTATAAGCAATGGTGGAGATATTAATGACTGTAGATCAAACATTAAAACAGTGTCATAAATAGAGGGTGCGGTCAAAGATGAAATTAAACACATCAAATAACAAGCCTAATTTTCTAATGTTTTAATTAGGCTTTCATGAAGGCTGAGTAAAATTATAATCTTATTGATTGTTATCTTGTTTAAGGTCTATAACTTAGGGTGAAATGTTGGCACACAATAAAAAGTAAGACTTCAAACAGTAACATGTACTTTCATATTTTATCGCACTCCCAACACACTTCCACAATCTTAATAAGTAGTTGTCTTGAGGAAGGTAGTTTAAAAAGGATTACAATTCTTTCATTCACTTTGCTTTTACTATCGAGACCACAATTTATCCAAATATCATCTCAGTTGTTCTGACAAGGTTAAGTATATTTTATTCTACGTCTAACCTCTACAAAAGATTGTGAAGTATTCTCGAAACAGGCACATCCCACCCATGATTTATAATCAGGGATGAAGGAAAAGATGTAAAGAGAATAAAAAAAAAGAAAGTGAAACTTAATAAATTAATATTAACTCACAGTTGTATTTGGCAGGTTATTTCTTTTCAGTATTCTATGCAGTTCAGTTAAAGCAACGACCCATTTATTTTTTTCACTTTCAGTATCTGCTAACATTAATGTGTGATTTTTAAAGCCAGGGGGATCCATCAATGAAGTAGTAATCTATAATAAATAAATATACAATTAAAAATATAAATTAATATTTGTAAGCATTCAGAAACATCTTGAAAAATAGCAAATAAAATACAAACCCTGAATATACAAGGAATATCTTTCTTTGTTGCATGGATTACATCAGAATCTCCGACACTAGATACCATAAAATGCTCATCTCTCATGTCAAGAACTTGAGAAACATACACAGATGGTAAAGCATTTCGATCTGGGCAGATGTCGTATAGAAACAATTTGAAATCACAGACTACAACAAATTGACGGATCCATCCTTTTTTCACTCCTCCAGTTTTAGGCACTTTTACATAACCTTCATATGCTGTTCCAATTCCACGAGTTGGATCAATTCCTAGTGGCCTTTTAGCTAAAACAAAAATGTTAATTGAGTTATTTCACTGCTACAAAGCATATCATCATGATAAATATTTAGCATAAAAGAGGTCATATTGGTACCTAACTGTATATCACAGTACAGTACAAAATCCCATAAATCCTATTTTTATTAAGAAAAGTTTTTGGCATCTCTTTAACAAAACAAAAGGTTTTAGACTGAATATGCCATTATGGTATTGAATATTACCAGTTTTAATAACCTGCAAGTTTATAAAAAATGTTTTCTCCTCAGAAGTTTTTTTGTTGATATAGTTACTTAATATAAGAATTATATGTTAATTAGTAGTATTAGTCAATACAGAAGAAAAATTAGACATGGGTTCAGTTGAACTCAGTTAAATTAGTTGTTGCACCCAGCTCTAGCCCAAATGATAGACATCAGGTCATCCCATAAGTGATGTCAGTATTTAATTGAATGATGTAAGTGGTAAGATAAAATCAATGAAACATGTTCAATCTAAAAGATATTTACCTCAGAAGAATATGATTGGTAAGGAATAATTCCCCATTCAAAGTCCTTCAATTTTTGACATATTTGTTTTGCAACATTAGGGACCTCGCATTGTCATGGTGGAATATAATACCTCATCATCATTTTTCCTCAATTGCTCGCTTCAATCGATCCAGCAGATCACAGTAGAGATCTTTAGTGATAGTTTGATAACGATAAAGGAATTCATGATGAAGGATTCTTTCCATATTCCATCAAACAGACATCATTACTTTTTTCAGATGAAGTCCATCTCTCACTTCTGTTATCAATGTTTCTCCAGGACTTAGCCATTGTCGTTCATTAATGACCTTTACTCCATATTTCTGCAAGATTCTGATAAGTAAAAGCAACATTTTCTCCTTCATCAGATTCTTAAAGCATAATATGGCATAAGAGGTTTTTGTGAAGATCCATTTTAATTGAAATCTCAACACATAATAATCAACTTTCCCCAACAAAACATGATTTATAGAAGAGTATGTAATACTATTAAACAAAATTAAATTGTAAAGGAGGGATTAGTAGACAGATTTTTAAAAACATACACTACTTATGGGATGACATTATATATCTTAGGAGCAATAGATTATGAAAAAACAAGGTGTTAAATGAAAGGTATTTTAAAGAAATGACAAATCTCCATAAAAATCATTGATAAAAAGAAGTCATTTTCAAAACTCCAACTTGATAAGACAATAGATCGTGATGAGACAAACTGTGTTTCCAAGATTTTGACAGGTACATCACGACATACCCGTCCCTACATTTTAAAGCCCCGAATGTTCCATTTTCGAGATAGCCCAGGGGCCTAATTCTAGTGATAACCTACTAAATGCCATGGGATACTTATCACTAGGGACTTGTATTGTATGATATAAGAAACAAAATTACTAATTTAATTTAATGCAAAAGCATATAAGCACTTACAAAGCTCCTTATCCACATGGTTCTGTTAATGGCGGTTCCAAAACATGTTTATATTTATTTTCCAGTATTCAAACAAACAAGTATGAAAGTATTAGTAAACTAACGTTTTATAGCTGCTTGACTTTCTTAGACAAAACACCACCGGGTTACACGAAGAACTATGGCATTTAATAAAAGTTAAAGAGCTTAACTCAAAATCCACTTTTTAAAAAAAAATATATATGACTAATTTTTTGTAAACTGCTTTTCTTTCATACAGAATTAATTTAATCCTCGTTCATTTTAAATTAGAACTAGATTTTTCTCACGTTACTATATGTTATACCTAACTTCAATAAATAGGCTATAACACTTAATATAAGAGTAAAGAAAAGCAACCAACAGCAAGTAAACAATTCATATTATAAATGAAACAAAAACTATGATTTTTGTATGTCATTTATACAATTTTACACATTTTGAGTTTTATATTGCATGTTTTTCAGTTTTTTACTGCTCGAAAATCCGGTCTCTACTTATCACATTATTCAGTTGTCAAAAAAAATTAAAATATCACTATTCATTGAAGCCTATGATGATAAATTAAAAATAGAGGAATTTCCCTGATATTAGATACTTGTTCGGCGCACAATTTAGAGTTCTTTAAGTTTTTAAAGAGTAAATTGTTCACTTCGATGCATCGCTTAGCAGCTACAGAGTACCACCGGGTACACTATGGACCAAGGGAGCATCGGTTGGAAGCCATACCTAGTGTTTAGCCTTAACCGGCCTCCAACCTTACTCCCTGGACCGGGTACACCACCAAGAATGCAGGCACACAACAGGTGCCCACGGAATAAGACAACTACTACTACCATAACTTCCGTCCACTCGCTACACATTGTACCAGAAGATAGCCTGAACAACGCCAAGGCTAGCTGAACACTGGTGTCGTGCAGCGAGTAGTCGTAAACACATCGACCACTACGACCGCCACGGCCGAACAGTGCAAGCACTCTCGCCGTCCACCCATAGCGCCGCCGGGGCTCCGGCGACGCCCCGTAGTACCAATTTAGTAGGGAAGCTGCTTCCCTGACCTCAGAGCACGATTGGTCTCAGGCTCCGCAATCAGTAGTTCGCTACGGCTTTACATTGCCTGCCGATGTACAGGAGGATGCCTGCACCTCCGCAGTCAATGAAGGACACGACTCAAACCTAAGGGTTCGAGACGATGACCGTCCCCGGGCTTAGCAGCTACAGAGGAATAACAAAAAAAAAGATCGAAAAATATGGCTTTTATGTCTGTAAAAAGTTTTCCATTGGTGGCCCGCGTTAGTAATTTTGTTTTTTACATTTCTAAACCCATATATAAAAGTTAAAAAATAAAAACTTTTTCACAATGGATTTTCCATTGCAATCCTCAAGTTACTGGGCTAATATTCTTTAAATCAGCCGCCATATATGAAAGCAGCAGCTCTGGTCTGGAATGGTAGACAAGGGTCATTTTATATAGAATAACATACATTTTCATAATTTACACTCAAACTTTTGCCAACGATTAGATCCATCTTTGGGCCCTGGATCCAGGGCTAAGGTGTTTCTAATTTAATTACTGTATTTATCCAAGTATTTTCCAATCCTGATTCCTACTAACCAGTCAGTTGGAACTTAGAGATCCATAAATTGAAGAAGCACACAAGTTAAAAAAAAAACTAAGGTGTGTGCTTTAGACCACACGATATAAGTGAAAACATCAACAAAGCGAGATTAATAATATGAAATATAAATTATGAATAATAGCTCATTACAAAGAAGATGAAATGCTGAACATTTCCCTCGCTTTCAGTATACAGATCCGATTTTCAGTATCAGAAATATTTTAATCCATATGTTCAACTAAACTTATCATTTAGTTTTCAACACTATTTTCCCTTTTCACCTCCCTATGTAATCCTTTTGTAAAACTATTTTAATTTGTCGACTCCAGCTGACTTTAATTTACTCGAGCGTTGATGCCAAACAAAATCTGATGGATCAATCTAATCCACTCTCCACAAAAAATGCAAAACGCGCCTAAAGAAGTTTTCACTTCAAAAATTGTAAAAAGGTTATAATTAAGATTGAAGTACAAAGTACCAGAAGTACACACAACTTTCAGCTGCTTCAATTTTGAATTCTTTCCTTATACTTAAAGTTATCCTAATCTTAAATACATAAAAATGCTATTCTAAAAGAAATATGATATTGTTGACAAATTTTCAAAATTAATGTCAAAGTTAAAAAAAATTAATATATAAGTTGAAATGTTCATTTTCTGCAATTCAAAATCAATGATTTTACAAATATCAACAGAACCTATCAGATATTCATGAATGATGATTTAATTTCTTACATACTTTATTAGTTTAGCAATCATCACATAGCCTGTCAGTATGCTGACTTTATGCCTGACAGTTGGTTAATTTTTATATATAATGATAAAAATTACAGATTATCTGAAAACATTCGATTAAAAAAAGTAGATATATGATTTAAGTAAACTACACGTTGTTTGTCATTTAATGAAATCATTATATCACTGTTTTTTTTTAAATAAATATGAGAAAAGAACTTACTCTGGTTGGCCGGCACAGGGCAAACAGGTGGAACTTTAGAACAACAGCCACTATGACATGTAAAACCACAAGCATCACATACAGCGCCCTGCCTTGTAAGCCCTACCATGAGGGATGTGCAATGTGAACATTTCGTAGGAGAATTGAAAGTTCTGATAAGAAATTGATGTGATTTGGGTTTCACGGGAAGTCCATGGCTCATTGCTCCAGTCTGGACATGAAAAAAAATATATATATAATATGTGCGCATAAATAAAAAAAAATTTACAATAAAAAAATCATTTTCCTAATTATGACTAAAAAATAATATACAAAATTTGAATACTGACATATTGGAAATCGGGACAATATATTAGCATTTTAGTTCACGAATGTTGACATTTTTACTTTCCTCAACAGTGTAGGAGTTATGTAGTAAAGGTAAATGAAAAGTAATGAAGAAATTATAATTGGGTAAAATTTTCAGCAATCAGTTTTCAATAGATCCTTATGTTTTTGAGCCTCTTAAGTACAAAACATCTATTTATGGCTATTGCTCTGGGTGTTAGTCTGATTATCTCTTGATTAAATGGTTTACAAATTTTGTTAATATTTTTTTAAGATTTTATTCCATGATATCAGTGTATTAAATTGAACCTCCTATTTGCAATAAAAGAAAAACTTAAAAAAAAAAGAAAAAGTTATCTTCTTATTTTTCTTTTTTTTTGACAAATGGTGCCACATCAAAAAAAAGAATGGTAAATAATTGTAAAATAGATAAATTGGAATGATATTGTTAAATAAAAGTTAATATAGAAAATGTGTATAATTTCAGTAAAAATAAAATCACTCTGATGATGGGAAAATTGTCCCGAAACGTAAGAGACATCAAGCATAAATAAAAAAATATGAAGAAAATTGGAAGTTTTATTGCCTAAAATATGAAAAAAAAAATTATAAAATCAAGATTGAGTTTTAATAGCCGTTTTGAAATTTAGCATGTCCCTTCTGCATTTATTATCCTTTTTTCCTGCAAATATTACACTTTTTTATATGTAATTTAGTGACTCCAAAACTATTTCTGCCATGAAACAAAAAGCGTTGGTACTGGCTAACAAAGTTAAAATTATAATAAATTTTATTATTATTTATTCTAGAGGTTTTAATAATGTAAAATTTAGCCTTTTATCTTTTATCAACTTCAAACTTTGGTTAAAAAAAATTAATAAATAAAAACGTTTTCAGGATACATCCTTACTGTGTACTGCAGCCATGAAAAAAACAGAACATTTCTATATTATTACTTTTGGTTTTACAAAAATGAAAATGAAACTTTTTCTAGGCAGATTATAGTTGTGTGCTGCAATACAATAAAATAAACCAAATTGACGAAGAACCTCACATTAACAAAACTTTCACAGATTAAAAAAACATAAGAAACAGTTGATAAGCAAATCATATTTATTTCTAATATGGTAAAGGAATACAAAAAAAAAAAAAAAAAAGAAAAGAAAATATTGTTTGGGGCAAGGTTATATGAGGCAAGCAATACTATTAATCATGGAGGTAAATGAAAGAATCACCAAAGAATGTTTACACAATTAAGAGCACCAAACATAATAAGGAAAATTGAACACTATAATTACAATGAAATCGTTGTGGTTCGAAAGAAGTTCCATACATAATTAAATAAATATAAATAAGTTTACTTGGTAATACAAAAATAATACACATAAAATATAACATAATACAGAAATGAGGTAGTTAGAATTGCAGTGAATACTAAATAATACTTTCAAGTTACAAAACATTCATGATAACCAAATAATACTTAAATAGCAAGTATTACATAATGAATCTTCACGACCGGACTACAAACATAAATCAGCATCATTATCAACACATAAAAACGTTATCAGTATTCTAAAATTATCAATATCCACAGTGTAAAACTGATCATTATTTAGAGACTAATGCCAGTTGCGAAAAGTTCCTATCATCCTATGAGACAAAGTGGAATATTTCAAATAATATTATTACATTATCATGATAGGTAAGTTTTTCATAAATATAAAATATAATGTAAAGAATACACTTATAGTTGATTTTTAGGATAAAACATTAAATTTTAATTAAAAACTAAAAAAATAATTTTTAATAGTTTTGAGTTATTCCAAATCAAGTATTGAACTACAACATTAGGTCAATTATATTTATAGCATAGAATTTATAAATTACACTTCACCATTATCTTAAAAAGAGACTAATAATCCTATAAAATCCTATTATCTCGATTTTTTTTTTATTACCGTTTGTTTTCAGTTTCAAGATATTTTTTAACAATTCCACTAAACCTTTATTTTTAATTTTTCTGTAAGGTTTTTAATATAATCTTATTTCAGTATTTTTTTCTGTTAATTTCTCCAGTGCAAGTAAGAATGTTATAATTTTTTTTTTTGGAAATATGTTATTAAAATAAAATGAATTGTTCAAAGGTTCCCAAATAAACAAAGCTGTTTGCAAGCAACACTATTTTTAATGAGCAAAGCAACCTTTATTTTTGAATAATTGTTAATTTGAGATAAATCTACATTATCTTAACAGAAATTCTGCAATTACACTCCAGGGCACGTAAGAATGTTTTTATAAAATAGTTTTTGTAAACCTGTTATTAGGATAAAATGTTTGTTCAAGATAAAAAATTGTTCCAAGGTTCCCAAATAACCAAACCTGTACATACATCAGGCATAACACATGATCATATTTGTGAAGTTCAACCTGCTATACCTTTATATTTCTATTAACAGAATAAAAATTTCCCTGTATCAATATTTTTGTATAAGGCCACAAAAACTTCAATAAAGGGGTCTGAGTGAGTACAAAAATGTTCAGCATTCCTGACTTTTAAAAGTGATCAAATGAATCAAAATAAATATTCATCAATCAACTTTTAAAAAAAATAGATAATGAAATAATCAGTATTAAGGTGTAAGATAAATATATTATCATGAGAGAAAGTTAAATTTGTTTTGATGCAATTTATCATTCTGATAATTCTGTTTACAAGAAAAGAAAAACATTTTTTGTGATATGAGACATGGATATAATTTATACACCGGTATATTCACATTTCACAAATAAAATACTATGAACTTATCTTAGAGAAATAAAAATATATTTTTTGAAAGCATACATAGACATGATTAGAATTAATAGTAAATTACATAATATAATATATTAAGAATGTAATACTAACAATACTTAAGTCAGATAGGTTTGATTTTGAGCTAGTGATTGATGGAGCTCGATTGTCTTCGATATCAGCCTCATCACTTTCAACTCCACCGCCACCCTCCTTCAGAAATGCACCTAAGTAAGACATCTGAGATGAGGCACGTTCAAGAACTGTAAAATAATTTCTTAAAATAAATTATATATTCTTATAACTGCGAGAAATTCAATATTCAGATATTTATGAATATATTTTTAAAAAACAACTTTTCTCCTCTTAAAGAAGTATATTTTGAAGAAACACAGATAGAAAATTATTTATGAAGCAAATTGTGGACCATGGATTAACCCATTCAGTGCCGAAGCTGTTGCAACAACCATCTAGAAAGTACAAGCTTGACACAACTTTTGTATCAATGGCATGGAATGGGGTAAATTCAAATGATCAAAAAAAAAAAAAAATTTAATGTTTAATGAGAACTGATTTTATGTTGTTTTTTTTGCTTACTCAGGTACACAAAGTCAATTTTTTTTTTAACTAAAGAAGATAAGTGGTCACGTGTCAGTAGTATGAATTAAAATCAACCTCAAAACTTTAATACCAAACTTCTTTTTCACCTCTCAATTTCATTATTTCTCCTTTGGCCAATTAAAGTCCAAGAATAAATGTACAACAATAATCCTATTCATTATAGAACAACTTTCATTCATTGATTCTTAAATAATCCTATTCATTATAGAACAACTTTCATTCATTGATTCTTAAATAATCCTATTCATTGTAGAATAACGTTCATTCATTGATTCTTAAATAACCCTATTCATCGTAGAATAAATTTCTGTTATTATTATTATTATTATAAATAAATTAAATCGTAGAATAACTTTACTGTAACAATAGTTATTCAATTTTCAATCTATTTATTCGTTAACATTCATGTATTTATTTTCTTTTATCTATTTTCTTATCATGTATTTATTTTCTTTATATTTTATTTCTGTATCAGACAACTTCTTCGTATTTTATATATACTTATTTTTATTTTTTCAACATGTTTGTATCTTTTGTAGCCCTGAAGACGACCTGCAAAGTGGGTCGAAACGTCGGCAAAAATTAAAATAATTTATATATTTTAATTTTTTTTATTTATTTGACCGCACCCTCGACTAACTCCTTCTCATATTATATTACCGGTCAACCATCTCTACATCATTAGAATAAATTTCATTCATTGATTCTTAAACCTATGCTCATACCCTGAATTGCCAAAACTATGCTGTGAATCTGGTTAACTTAATTTCCACAAGTTTTTCAATAAAATTTTAGCGCTTACCGAAGCCATTCCCTAGCTTCTGACCTCTCCATCGTTATCCTTAACATCCTTATTCCCAAATTATATCATCTTTAATAAGAAATATGCTAAAAAGCCTCACCTTCTTCCTTATCCCAATAACATTTCAAAAACATTGCTACCCTTACCATGGCTCTGTTTCACATTTAAGAGTAAAATTAATAATTCACTTCATCTTATCAACGTTCTTATCAAAAGAAATCCTGATGATATTATATAAACTGAATATTCTATGTAGATATTTTTTTTTTAACACCAAATTTTCAAACAAAACTAAAAAAAAAATCCTTAGAATCAACTATTCCTAATTTATATACTGTCTCCAGGTCTTATAACAAGCTTGTTCCCTCTGTTTTCCACTTAAATTTGGAATGAGACATCTCACCACTCTTCTGAGCTCAAGGCATACAAATTAGTTTGAAATATCAGTACACATCAAACAATAAACATTTTTTACAGTATTTTTTGATCTCTTGACCATTGTCAAAATTGTAGTTACATCAAATATTGTTTAACTACATCTATTCTATTGAACTCAATTTTTTTTTTCTTTACTTTATAAGCCATAGATGCAAAGAATTATATAATTAATAACATAAAGTTTAAAACATTTGGGAGTCTTAAATTAAGCATATAATATAAATATGCTATTAAGATGATCCCTTCTTCATATGAAGTTTATCAAATTTAAAATTTACAAGAATTGATTTCAAAAATATCTTAATCGGTACAGATTTGTTTTAACCCCTATTCAAAAACTTTTGAAATTTTTCTTCAAGATAATAAATGGAAGGAAGTAAGAAATTGTAAAACAGAGATAATATAGTACATAGGTTATTATTATTTTTTTTTTTTACAACTAGGTAATCGAATGTTTGTAAACCCATTTGAATATTTATAAACATTTTCAGTTTCAGCCCTGAAGATGACCCAAATGTTTGGGTTGAAACGTTGGCAAAAATAAAAAATTTAATAAAGACTGCGTCCTGAATATTTATCACCCATGATATGTAGAACAGTCTACTAACTTCCTTCAAGAATTTATATAAACATAATAATAATAAACTTTATAAATAATAAAATATTAAAAAAAAAATTAGAAGTTCATTATTATCACATAATCACAAGAACTAACATTTAAACACACGTAAAAACAAATAAAAAGCTGAAAACTAATTAAAAAATGTTATAATGCAAGGTACCACACAAAACACATTTTTATTCACATATATATGTTTCGTGGAATAAAACATTCATAGTTTTGTCAATTCCATACCTTAAAAAAGGATTAGAAAATCTAGGGAAAGATAAGTACCTATCTTAGGAATGGTGTAGATTCATATAAATAATTTAAGATTTCTTATTTCTCTTGAGTAAAATAATAAACTAGAATGGAAAGATAATTCATAAAGAAAAACTGAATGAACCATGAGAAATAAAATTTGTAAATTGAAATAATAGTAAAATAAAAATAAACCATTTAATTTGAATTATTAAATTAAGTTAATAAATGTATAGTTCACTAACTATCTCTGCACTACTATTTCCTACCCACAATCATTTAAATTATATTATCATCAATTGAATCATAAATTTTAACATAATTTTAGATTGATGGACTAAATTTTCATTCAAGACAGTTATTCAAGTGATATTAGTTATGATAACTTGTCAGGCAGTTTTAATTATATTTGTACTAGCCCGTATGAATAATTTGTACAGTTTATTGGTCAGTAAACTAATAAGAAAAGTAAATAATGCAGTATATCATAAGATGGAGCAATCGATTCTTATTTTCTTGGTAATTATAAGCAACCAAGGAAAAAAAAATTATTTCAAAACTTCCTTTATGTTTTAAGCTAACATGTTTACAAATTACAATGAACTGTACATTTGTGCATTCTGATCCAATTTAAAAAAAAAATATTTTTGTAGGAAATTTAGTTATCTTTCAAATAATCGACAACAAAATGTACACTTTTTGAGTTATTAACAAATAAAGTTTCTTTTCCTTAAAGTTTTCCCCCAGAAATTTCAGGGGGATGCGACTATATTTCCCAAATGAAGAAAAGAAAATCTTCAAATTGAGAGCTCAATCATAAGATTTAATGAAGAACTAATGAAGTTATGGCGTACCGACAAAAGAAAAAAAAAAACTTTGACAATTAATATATAAAGATTCAGAAAGGTTATAAATACGGAAAAATCTTTTTAAGTATTTAGGACAAATTCATTAATAATAATTCAAAAAATTAATTTTAGAATGAGTTGATCGGGGGTTATCCTCCCGATCAACTCCTTCTCATATATTATATTACGGTCAACCATCTCTACATCAAAAAATTAAATGATCTTTGTCAACTCAAAAATATAATAATAAATAATACAGACGATTATCACTGAAAGCCTTAAACAAGTCCACAAAAAAATAGATACAATATTTTCAATTGAAAAAAGAGATTGTTAAAATAGATTAGAAAGTTTTCCAATTTTCAATGTTGTGATTTTTAGTTCCAGAAACTGGAAAAAGGTAGATCTCTTTTAATCCTAACATCTGACTCACAATCAAAACTCTTAAAGAAGTTCTGTACATAATCGACTAGCTATAATTAATAAATTTATAATCAATAAAACATAAATTTATCATGGAAAAACAGAAAGTCATGAAGTTTTACCACACATAAATAATCCTTAAACAGAAAAATGGTAATTTTGAAAAAATAGTGATTCAGGCATGGAATCAAATATTTAGAAATCCAAAAACTAATCAGATTTATTAAAACTAAAACATAATGGGGGTTCTCTCGTATGAAAGATGCTCTTGATGATAAAAATATTATTTATTGGAATAAACATATGTATGTATAATAAATATGTTCATATTTGTAACTCATACAAATAATTGACACTTATGAGTATCTATAGGAAATCTCTCTATTATGTAAAAATGTTTTAGTGACCAATATTTTAGGTGGAATGCTTGCAGAGCACTGACACTGTTTCCGGGTACTGCACCCTCCCTAATTCCGTCACTCACATAACATTTTTTTAAACAATTCAGTTCAGAATGTAAGTTATCAACTATTCTCTTTTTTAACAATTTCTGTCTTTCATACACATTTTTCATTTTTATAATTTATAAAATGGGAGTTTGTCTGCCGTTAGACGGACAGGGGGTACCCCCTAGTTTATTATAAAATTATATATACATTTTATAAGAAAAAGTGTGTTTTATGTTATATTACATCTTTCAGAAGATCATGAAGTTTTGTCAAATTTTGAAAGTATATGTTTTAAAGAGATTAACTGCATTAATATCCAGTCTTTAACTATAATATCATAATCCTTATATCATAGAAAACCAGATATTAGGTTTTTACCGGGACAAACAGTTGCTCACATGAAGATTAGATATTAGAAAAAATATATGAAGTATTATCTTTAGAGAATAAACACTCTGCTCCAACATTTTTTTTTTTTCTCTCCTTCCTTGCCTTTTAGGTCACACGGGGTTTTTCTCAGGACAGGGGAGTGGGTGGGGAATGATGCCAACCGCATGAAAACACCGGGCACCAGGATTTGAACTTGGAATCGTTTTTCTATGTTAAACTTCGGTTAACAGGTTGCCAAGCAACGCACGATGCTGTGCACACCCGTTAGCCCGCCCAGCAACCCCACCATCCACTCTGCCCAACCCAAAGAATTGAACCATTAGGGTTTGCAATCAATAGATGATACTTCTTTGTAACAACAATAGATGATACTTCTTTGTAACAAAATTACAATAACCAAGGTATTCACAAAAACCTGAAGAACAAAACC